TGCAGGGACAGACTTGTCCTCCTAAAGGAGGAATCGGTTCTGATTGGTTGACCCTGGTCACATGGTCCTGCCGGCTGGCTGTGGTGTAGGCAGTGAGTTGTTCACTGGCGGAGGGTGTTTCACAGGGAATAGCAGCACAGCTGCAGAGGGAAGAGCCCAGTTGCCGGGATAGCCAAAATGGATATGGCTAACCTCTTCAAACACTTCTTCGTGAGTTCTGCCACCTTTTCTCTCCTCTTTATTATATCACGGTCTAGAAAGTTGACAATGCTGAAAGTTGTGCTTTTGGACGTATTGCTTGTGTTTGAGTTTGCATTGAGACATTCTTAGGATTAGGGAAGTTTGAAAGGCTTTTCCCCTCTGAGCTGAGCTGGGTGTGAGTTTGTCAGTAACCCCACTCACACACACACACACACACACCACACTTACACTTTATTTACTATTTTTTTTTTCTGTTTATATGCCATTGGAAAGCAACTATGAGCGAACACAAGTTTGTTAGGAAATGTCTCATTTTTTCCCTCGTTCTCTGTGTGTTAGTCGAGCAGCTGGGCGGCAGTTCTCTGAAAAGCCTGTAATTGCACTTCACACACACAAACACACACACTGCAATCAACAGTGTAAGAACCTCCACTCCTCTTTGTGCACTTAAACTCTCCTGTTACACTCAACGGAATCTTCTTTCCCAGCCGATCCTTTTAATCAGGTTTAGCGTGACTTTGAAGCGTACTGGTTCTTGTTGGTCCAGCACGATGATGTTTTTCTGCAGTTTGAGTGTCGAGGGTCTGCTGTCGTGGGGGTTTCCTCGTGCCAGTGGGCCGTAGTTGGGCGACGTCAGCTCTCCGGCGAAACACTGAACATTGTGTCATGTGGAGCGGATTGATGAAGCTCATATCTCTTCTGGGAGAAATACTGCTGTCGCTGGAATACACACTTCCTTTCTGCAGCCGCTGATCAGTCATGGGTTCACTGACTCCCCTTGTGTTCCTCTTTCTGCGCTGTGCAGTTTAGTGCACGTCTAGGCTTTTTAAACACTGGTCGTCGACAGATGCCGGAGGATCGTGGGACATGATGTGGTCGTGTTTGAAGTGTTTGGGTATGTAATTGTGCTTGAGAAATAAGTATCTCAAAGGGATTGATAGGTTGCATTTTTTTTGTATTTAGTAATCAAACACATACACTGTAAAAAAAAAAAAAAAGTTGCTGCCTTTAAGTAAAATCAACTTGGATGTTTAAGTCAATTCAACTTAAATTACATTAAACTGACTTAAGAATTAGTTGAATCTTGTATAAGGTCTTCAAAACCGAGTTAAAGCAATGTTTTTTTTGCATTGTATTACCCATACCATATTGGTTATCGCTATTATTAGAGATTTTTTTAGTGTCAGTCTCTGTTGGTTGTACCGTGTTGTTTAAAAGTTTGGGTTGTAAAAATGTTTTTGGAAAAAGTCTACCTTTTAATTGATAAAAACAGTAAACGAAAATGTTGCGAAAATAAATATGTGTAAATATGCTGATTGTGTGTATAGGAAACATTTCTTATTATTATCAATATTGTAAAGTATTTAAAGTATTCAAAAAAAGTGTGTATATATGTAAAAAATATCTTACTGACCCTAAACTTTTGAATGTGTATATCAAACAGTGTTGGATATTGAAAATAATGCATGCTCGTATCCTCTATTTTTACATTTAAATGACCTTTGCCTTCATGTAACGCACAGCAAAAAATGTGATCTTAGTATTTTTGTCTTGTTTCCTATCTATCTATCTATCTATCTATCTATATCTATCTATCTATCTATCTATCTATCTATCTATCTATCTATCTATCTATCGTTTTTTTTTTCGTTTGTGCCTAAAACAAGATTATAATATCTTATGGCATTTACTATTTTAATAAATGCATCTTGATTTGAGAATTTTTAGATATTTGGACTGGGAACAAGACAAAAATACTTGCGGTAGTACGAAAATAATTTTTTTGCAGTGCACTCGCTTAAAGTTAATCTTTAAAAACATTAATATAAAAGCTCATAATATGTATAATTTCATAGTGTACATTTATAATGCTGTGATGTCTCAATTCCATTGAACAATTGATTTCAGTTTGTATTGTTAAAGTTAGGATTAGCCATAACATGAAAATGATTATTGGCTTAGTGGTTCAGCCAGATTGTTGATATCGGTTTAAGCTGTGAAGTGAAGCAGAACAAAACGCCAGGTCTAGAAACTTTGTTTTTAGCCAACATGTCATGCATGAGACACTGCAAAGGACACAAGACACAAGCGCAACCGTCAAACACATCCGTCTAGCACACGTTTACATCAAACAATGGACGAGCAGCACAAGGGGATACTGTAGAAAAATAACGATCTGTGTGACAACCCTTAAAGGCATAGTTCACCCAAAAAATAATTAGTTGTTCCAAACCTGTATGAGATTATTTCTTCTAATGAACACAAAAGAACGTATTTCAAAGAATATGGATAATCAAACAGTTGAAGGTAGCCATTGATTTTCATAGTAGTGAACTGTCTGGTAAACACATTCTTCGTTGAGTGAGTAAATGATGACACAACTTTCATTTTTTGTGAACTATCCCTTTAATGCAGAGTTAATGACATGCAACTATAGTATAAACAGTGTTTAGAGGATAGGGCTGTCATGATTATAGATTTTCACTACACTTATCATGGCCAAAATACATTTTGGGAAAAAAAAAATGTAATTTTTTAACTTTTTGTGTTTTTGTTTGGTTAATGAATCGCATTGAAAATGTGAGTGTTGGCAGGCAGAGAGAGAGTATGTCAAATCGAAATGTAAAAATTGACAGCCGTAGTTCCTATACTCTAACTCGACTTCGGGTCAAATATGGATAAACCCAAATGTTGGGTAAAAAATGTAATTAAAAGGTTTAACCCAATGGCTGGGTTTGTCCCATTTGACCCAAGCACAAAAAAACAACCCAGAGTGTATTTGGCGCTAAACCTGCCATGAACCTAGACGTGTCTTCTTGTGGCGTATTTTAATGTGTGTAAACACAAATGTTGCATGTGAAAGAGCAGCTTGGAATGTCTTCAAAATATCTCCTTTTGTGTTGAAGAAAGAAAGTGACGCGAGTTTGATTTTTGTCCCTTAAATCCATTACTTCAAACTCCCTGTGAGGTGGTCTTGGCTTTGGGCAGTTTTTCGACTCCACCTCACCCCTTCTCTCTTTTCCTGTGGTTCAGCCTTCGCTCGTAGCGGAAGTGGTTTTAATTTGAGACAGATTCTCCTCAGATCTTTGGAGCCTGTGAGGGAGGAAGTGAGGAAACCGGGCTGTTGATTCACTGCAGCGTCAGCCCATCCGTCTGTTTTCCTCCACTTCCCACTCCGACGCTTTTTTCTAAAGCCAGTCAACTCTTCCTCTCTGATGGAAAGCACCACAAGATAATGTCGCTTTGTGAGAAGGACAAACGCACGAGCTTGAATTGAAATGCGAGTGCCTCTCTCGCACACGACGAGGGCAGGAAGTGCTGATGGCTTTCTGGAGTGTTCCTGACTAAAACACACACATCAGGCTCGGCTGGTTCTGCATACGTGGATGAGCCGTGACCCCCGTTTGACTCCCTCTTTCTCTCTCTCGACAGACCCGCGCTAGCCAAACAAGCACAGATGTGTGACGGAGGCTGTTTACCAGCTCGTCATCAGAGTACCTGAGCGTCAGTAGGGGGAATGTCACAAAGTTTCACCCAAAATCAAGTTATTTGCATATACTGGAAAAAATTATTTTCACTTCAGTAATTGAAAACCACATGAACCATAAAGTGTACGTATAAACGCATTTTAAATGAGGTTAAACTCTTAGCAAATCTATAAATTAATACAACATCGTGTGACGCATAGTACCATCTAAAATTATGGATTTTAGATTTATGTAGACAAAATGATCTCAAGCTGTGTTTTTACAATGTTAAGTTTATTTTTTCCAGTGCGAAAAAAGAAAAACTTATTTTATTAGCCCTCAATCGGGTCATGGGGTCAATAGGACCCCAATCGACTTACTTAATAAAAAAACTTAAAAACTGGGCTTGATTCGGTTGTTCTGTAAAGGTATGTAAAAAAATGTTTACACTTCTGGTCTTCGGGGTCAATATGACCCAACATTGAAATGAATGGGAAATGTGAAAAAAAACTAAATATATTTTCTTCATGTGTCCAAAAAATAAATAATTAAATAAATAAAAATCTGGCATAAATCTGAAATTTTTACACAGAAATGAAAGCCTAGTACTAGAGCAAAAATGCAATGTATCATAAAAAAAAAATAATATTTCATATGCAAGCTAATCGTGTAGTTGAGGAATTAACCAAAAACACAGCATTAATGAATAGATGAGAAGTAAACAAAAAAAAAATGATATATTAATTGTATGATTTAAAATGTTTTTTTTTTTTTTGTTTTTTTTTTGTACAATTACTCAATCAATTGTTGGGGTCGTATTGACCCTGCAGCCCAGAAGTGTAAACAGAAAATGAAGACCATTTAAAGGTTAGCTAAAATCTATTATTATATATTGTATTTTGGGATTAAATATTTATATTATATTTTCGTTGTTCATTTCTAGATCCGTCTGTGCAATAGCTAAGTTTTTGAGCCTATGTGTGTGCTTCATTTAGGGAAATGAAAACGATTTGGAGGTCTGTTCCTTGCAGGTAGTTTGTGCTTTATTTGTGCATCGATCGAGTGTGTGATATGCACACACACGCAGCCTTGAGATCTGTGGTGTACAGTCACTGTCGTTGGAGGCCTTTTGATGCCTCGTCTTTTTTTGAGTTGAAAGAAATGTCCTCGTTTTCCGCTTGGCTTCGAGTCAGCATTTTAGATTAGAAGTATAAAGTGGTTTTCTTTCCTGTTTTCACAGTTTTGCTTGTATCTCCCTCATTCATACTCTTGGGTACATTGCCATAAGAATCTTTTGTGATTATTTACACAGTATCTCTCTGTCTTGGCACAATTTTGTTGGCAGCTGTTACAGTACATGTAAACACAATGGTGTATGAATATGTATGATTCAGTGCAATGGTATATATTTAAATATTTATCATCTGATACAATCTGTTTTTCTATGGTACTACCACAGTTTAATGTATGTTTGTTTTCCACACTTTGTAGCATTTATTTACTTTGCATAGTTGCAGTGTAAATCTAAAAATCCACCTTTTAATGGCTGTGGGTTGCTTTTAAATGGAGTTCAGCCCTATATTGGAGAACAATAGGATGAACTCAGCAGAGGAAACAACTAATCCAAGTTGCGTTCAGAGGATAGAAGGGAAGGGAAGTGGATGTAGTCTGTTGGGCGGGTGGAATAGTAGCTGTATATGAATCATACTCTGCTGGGTTTTTACAAGTTGAAATGTATGCCAGTTAGTTGCAGATGGCAGATTTAGCTTAAACTTGATTTAAAAAACTTTTACAAGTAATGTTAGAGAGGAAAATAAAAACGCATCGATTGACTTATGGCCATGCAAAGTGTGCAGCTTCCTTCCTGAGGATCCTCTGTAGGAATCCAGGAACATTCCTTATCCTGTATTCAGGATACACACCATCGCTCCATTCATTGTGTTTTGTTCTATTAGCAGCACATCCATGGACACATAGGCCCTGTCCCAAATGGCACACTTCATATGCACTTTCGGTCTTGTGGACTTACAATGGCTGCCGCGTGCGTGCGTCCATCCGTCCGTTAAGTCCATTGAGACCTCAGTGATTTCAATGTTAAGTCAGTACAAAGACGCGTTACGCGCGTAGAAAATTCCTGCGGCGCGAAATTAGGCGAAAGCGGCGTTGCGAATATGTTGCGCGAACTGAGCGTCTGGCGCGTGAAGCGCAAATGATTTATTTAGTTAGTGCTATTTGTGTGTTCACGCGCGTTTGACGAGAATTCGTGCCTGCCGCCCGAGTTGAAAAATCTGAACTTTGGCGTCAAATTTGCGCTGCGTTAACCAATCAGGAGCCTGCTGCTTGCTCACTTGGTTAAGTATCTGGATGCTTCAATAAATTATTTTGTAATATGACTAAATGCCTGGTGAGGTTCTAATGCACAACAAAGCACATATTTTATCATTTAAAACTTTAATTCAATATACGAGACGGGTTCATTTTGTATTAAATATTATTATTCCATATCTAGATTATATGAAATATTATTATAACGTAAAGACAACCAACAACATACGTGTGCATACGTTCATGTCCTGGACGTGAGAGAGAAAAAAATCACAGGACAGGTTAATAACTTTTAGAGGCTGGCTCTATTTATCATCAAAACAAAAATAAATGACAGATTAGGTGGATGAGGGTGATCTTCGCTCCGATGCGGGACAACAGATCATCAAACTGGGCGTGGGACAGGCGGAAGTACCACTAAAAGCTCCTGGAGCGAGCAAATGGTGAAAATCGTCAAACGGTTCGCTTCCAAAGGGTCCGGTGGACAGAAATACGGCGACGATGATCCCCACGCCGCTGTTCTGCTCTCCTGAGCAAATACAGAGTGATGACTCTCGATGAATGCTCGATCAACATAAAAATATGGCCGCCAATGGATTTTGATTCTGACGTGTGTAAATTTCGCTTCAAATTTTGTTTTTACGCGTGCCAATTTCTCTCTTGATGCGCGAATGGACTCAAAGTGTTCAAGCGTATAACTAGACGCGTAGACGTGAATTTGATGCGCTATTCGCGTCTGGTGTCAACGCACAGTTAGGATGACAAGTTGTTATTTTAGATCTCAGAAGGGTGCTTGCGACGCCCTCTTTGCAGTCGATACGCGCCCTCTACACACTTTTGCACTGATACGAGCTCCAAAGCAGACTTCGTCCCGACAGTCAAAGTGGCGCTACGTCACAAAAGTGCGGACTCGTAGGAAGACCATAGAGACCAGATTATCAGAGCCTTGGTTATCAGATCTGATTATCGAAGCCTCCTGGCATTATGGTGGCAAGATTACATCTAGTACAACATGTTCTTGGAACAGCATTCCAATCGACCAATCAGATTTGATGGACAAGTTTACAGTTTCCGTCAAGTTTAGGCTTACAAGCAGGGTTAGGTGCTTGTGTTCACCTATCATTTTCCTATCAAGTTATGGGTAGGGATAGGGTTAGGACTACATTCTTTTAAACAGGAATGTTGTTCCAGGATCAACAAGATATGGAACATGTCTGTCTGGGCAAAATCATGGTGACCCATGTGTGATGCAGCCTGTTTATGTTGATGTGGTTGGTTATTGTTTGAGTGTTAGATAAGAGATTTAAAAAAAACTTGGTAAACTCAGCTCCTAAGAGACCATGTAGACTGACTAATCCAAATGGGTGGATTACCTTACGTCTCGTGACGCAACATCAATCATATTATGCTTGAGAAAAAAACTACCACCACTGGCCTGAACGTTCACACACCCAAGATCAGTTTCTCTTTTTTAACAAGTGAAAACTTGAAATTTGCTTTCATACTACTTGTATATTTTAGCCTGTATTTGAGTCCAGATTTGCACAATTTTCTATTTTCCTTAATGAATTAGATCACTCAAATTGAAAAGTCTTTCTAAACCCCTCTAATATTCTTCTATTGAACAGAAAAGTCCTATAAATAGAGTCCAAACAACTTTTTCACTATATTTCAAGTCTTGTGAATTCATAAATGTTTGTGTGATGAAGAGACCCAGATATTTGATGATGATATTATTATTGTAAACTAGCACAATGCTCAAACCTTTTATTTACTCTCGATCTTTTCAATGAATTAATTGATCTGGTTCACAAAACCTTTCTGAATGATTCCTTTATGCATCGTAACAATCTGGTTTTTATTCTTATGATCTTTATTTTTGAATTAACTATCCCTTTAAGAAGTGTCTTTTGAATTTGTGGATGATCATGAGTTGACCTTGTGCTGTCAGAAGTTTTACACACCCGTGGTTACATGCCCCAACACGTCCACGCATGGAGTACTAAATGCTCCAGTTACTATTGCTCTACCACTTCAAGTTTACTTCCTGCTCACATTGACCATGCAAATGTCCACCCCCCTCAATCGGACATAGCTTAGGGGCCAGAGGCAAATATCTTGGTTTGAGATTTCATGTATTTGTAATGCAAATCAGGCAGTAGAGGCATCCGCAAGCACAGAATAAATTCCTCTGGCCTTGAGCTTTGATAAGCATCTTGCTCCGAGCAAAGGGTGCTCTTGGAAAAGCTTTATGTTCTCACTCAGTTAACCTTTAACCTCTGAGTAAGCATAAAGTAAATTGGGTGATTTCCTTTTAGATTAGTTAAGAGTAGATCCAGGGTTTCAGCTGTTTCTCGGTTGTCAAGTTTTGAAAAATCGTAGCTGCTAAGTATTGCCCACAGGGTTATGAAGTTCAAATGGTAAAGCCTGAGTTTGCCTCCTTCCCAGATAGATTGATAGCAAAATCAATCCTGTTTTTTTTTTCCTGGCTGATTACCATGTTAATGATATCATGGCTATTTGGAGATATCCATTTTAAAAACGTTAAACAGCCTAAGGTTATGTGGTGGACTTAGTTGGGCAAATGCTTATCTCCTGGTAAGAATTGTCTGGCCTGTGGTACTTTGAGCAAAGACCAGTAACCCACCTTAGAATACATGCTGTAAAACTAGCCTATTGTAATACCATGGTATTTTCATCTAATACAATAATTTTGTTGCTGCAGGACATTTTTGCAAGGTATCTAAAGAGAACATGTGTTTATCTGTCCTTGGGCCTTTAGACTGGGCCGGTACAAACTTCACTGCCAAGTGGACATTCCTGTATGGTAACACTATTCACAAACCTTTGCCAAACCGCCAACATGGTCGAAAGGCTTCAGGGTCAGATATTCTCCATTAATCCTGCAGACCGACCCACTTGGCTTGACCTAATGTGGTCGGACAAGCTGGAATCCTCAACGGTATCCATGAACCTAACCCAACACTCCCTGACTCATTCCCTCCCCATGGAGGAGGACGATGGGTGTGGTTTTCATTCCAGTGTCTCTTTGCAGTTAATTGTACTTTTCTCTGAATAATAGAGCTAAACCGCACAGCTGTGTTTTGCGAATGAGTGAAGCAGGTGGAAATTTTTGTTTGCGTTGTCATGAAGCAAGCACATGTTTTGGTTTGCGAAACTGTTCTGTTGCTCTTACATGCCTGTTCACATGGACATAATTAAATAATGTACAAGTAGGAAGGCAATGATGCACAGCTTTGTCATATGATTTTTGAGTGGCGAGAACAAGATTAGTTGGTTGTGATTGGGTGGTTTCTCAACTGGACCAGTGCCTGTGTTTACTAAGAGAGGACACATTGCTCAAGCAGGCGGGAGCTGATTGCTACTGTACCCCTGTCAGTGTGAAAACACAAGCCTCACTGCACTGTAACATGTGTTTGGACAAGTTCTCCTTTCACTCATGCCCTGCCTGTTGGTGCCTGTATCAAAATACAATGCTCTTTGGTTTCACAGACAATTTCAACAAGAATGGAATGAGTACAGGGTGCGGGGTGATGAAATTACCCCCTGAAGAGATTGTCTCAACACATTTTTAATTTCCAATCAAGATTGTCCATTGAAAATACCTTTTGTCAAAAGTGGTGCAGACAGTTGTGCAGTCAATGTCAGTAAGCTAATGCATGAGTTTTTGCTCAGGATACAAAATAACTGATTTAGAACCTGGTCAGTGTGAAACCAAGTCTGGAATCAGAGTCTTGTACCTTGTTTTGACTACTTTTTAAAGCATTGTCAGGAATTCTTCGTGGAGAAGGCAATCCCAGAATGCAGAAACAAGCTCATTGAAAAAGTTTTGATTTTCTAGAAATTTAAATAGATTTGGTGATTCATTGCAGTTCCTCTGGGAGTGTCTGCATTGCTTTTGTTTGCACTCTGTTCAACTTTGTCGTATTGCCAATTTCTTGTGGCATTGTTGTTAACACCCAAGTGCAAGTAGTTGAGTGCAAAGACGACACCTGTTGTATATTTCGCAAAACCCTTAATTGTACTTCTTTTCTGTATGTATGCAGGGATCGGTAAGGTGAAAAGGAAAACAGGCATGCGTGAAACAGCCTCCAACTCGGACTCTGACTTCAATCCAGACAACAGCGAACGTCTGTATGACCTAAACCTTCCTGCGCTCGTCAAATTCAGCTACACGGCCGAACGGGAAGATGAGTTGTCGTTGGTTAAGGGCACAAGGGTCATCGTCATGGAGAAGTGCAGCGATGGCTGGTGGAGGGGGAGCTACAATGGCCGTTCGGGGTGGTTCCCATCCAACTACGTGACGGAAGATGCAGATGGATCGGCGAGCAACGACTCTGCTGGCTTGTCGGAGAAGCTGGCTGCTGTTGTTCATAGTGTGAACGGCAACCGAGTGTTGCACACAGTACAGGCACTCTACCCGTTCAGCTCGGGCAACGACGAAGAGCTGAACTTTGAGAAGGGTGAGGTTATGGATGTTGTGGAGAAGCCAGAAATGACCCCGAGTGGTGGAAGTGTCGCAAATCCGACGGGCAGATGGGACTTGTGCCGAAAAACTACGTGAATGTTCTGCAGGAGTCGCACAACTCGGCCAACATAGCAGGGCCGCCCACACCTGACTGTGACTACATTGAGCCTTCATCCAGTGGACGCTTCGCTGGCAAGCAGTGGTACTACGGGAAGGTGACGCGCCATCAGGCAGAAGTGGCACTCAACCTGAGGGGCACAGAGGGAGACTTTCTTATTCGGGACAGCGAGTCCTCTGTGAGTAGACTGAAATCTTCCTCATATTCTCATGAAGGTGCTCAAGTACCATAGTGCAGTCCTCATTTGAGGAAAACACCTTCAATGTGCTGATTTTGAAATGTTATTTTTGAAGTGGAGAGTTTTCAAAAACACGCACTTCCTCGGTTACAAAAACGTCTTGAGCTGCCCTACCTAGACGGCATTTGTATTATGTTTTTGAGTATTATATAGCAACATGACAAACTGCAGAATCTTTTGGGAATCAATTGTGAGCCAATTCTTCCAGGTTTTGCTTGAGCTTGTGGATGACAATGCTACATTAGATCATACCAGCTGTCTAATGGTGCGTTCAAACCGGACGCAAATAGCACGTCAGGCGCGAATGATTTCAATGTTAAGTCATTACAAAGACGTGTTGCACACGTAAAAAATTCCTGTGGCGCGAATGAGGCGTAGAGCGTGGCAGACGCGAATACGCCTTATTCACGCGTCAAGTTTGCGCGAATGGAGCGTCTGCCGCGTTAAGCGCGAATGATTTAGTTAGTGCTATTTGTGCATTCATGCGTTTGACACGAATTCGCGTCTGCCGTCCGAGTTGAAAAATCTGAACTTTGGCGTCAATTTGCGCCGCGTTAACCAATCAGGAGCCTGCTGCTTGCTCACGTGGTGAAGGATCTGGATGCTTCAATAAATTATTTTGTAATATGACTAAATGCCTGGTGTGGTTCTAATGCACAACAAAGCAAATATTTTATCACTTAAAAGTTTATTTCAATATACGAGACGGGTTCATTTTGTATTGAATGTTATTTATTCCATATCTAGATTATATGAAATATTATTATGATGTAAAGACAACCAACATATATGTGCATAAGTTCGTGTCTGGATGTGAGATTAGATTAGATGGATGAGGGCGAGGGTGATCCTCGCTCCGATGCGGGACAACAGGTCATCAAACTGGGCGCGGGACAGGCAGAAGTACCGCTGACAGTGGCCGTCATCCAGACGCAGCTCCTGGAGCGAGCAAATGGTGAAACTCGCCAAATGGTTCGCCTCCGAAGGGTCCGGTGGACACAAATACGGCGACGATGATCCCCACGCCAGTGATCTGCTCTCCAGAGCAAATACAGGGCAGTGACTCTCTCGATGAATGCTCGATCAACATAAAAAAGATGGCCGCCAACGGGTTTCGATTCTGACGCGCGTGATGTGCGTAAATTTCGCTTCAAACTTTTGTTTTTACGCACGTCAGTTTCACTCATGACGCACAAATTAACACAAAGTGGTCAAGCATCAAACTAGACGCGGTAGACGTGAATTTGATGCGCTATTCGCGTCCGGTGTGAACGCACAGTAAGTACCTCACTGTGTTTTGAGTTTTGAGATTACTGGTCTAAATTAACAATTTCTTCCCTTTCTCTTTACATTTTTGTTTTTCCAGCCCAATGACTTTTCAATATCACTGAAAGCTCAGTCCAAAAACAAGCATTTCAAAGTCCAGCTGAAGGACAACCTGTACTGCATCGGACAGCGCAAGTTTAACACAATGGAGGAGTTGGTGGAACACTACAAAAAGGCGCCCATCTTTACCAGCGAACAGGGCGACAAACTCTACCTGGTCAAGGCTCTGGCTTCCTCCTGATCCCAGTAGAAAGAATATCCAGTTAACAAGGACTACACTTCTAGACAGACTGGGAATATCAAGCATTCCATGAAAGGGAGGTACAGGGAGAGATGGACAATGACACTCCCGTTCATTTGCTCGGAAACTTGCTCATTTCATTGAGGGACACGCCCAATGTATCAAAATACAGTGTTTAGACCATAGGTGATGCAATGTATTTTGATGTCAACATGTATTAGAATTAAAAACTAGGTCTTTTGTTAATATATTCTTTTCATTCATTTCGAAAATGTATTGTTCATTTGTTCTTGAACTTCCCTGCCAATTTTTTTTAACTCTACTTTCAAGTGTCTGCTGTTGAAGTCCTCGCTGCAGAAGAACATGTTTCAAAGGTCTCACATACTGTCTGTTACTGCCTGCATTGCCTGAATGAAACAGAACTATTGAAATTGACCTAATCTGCTATATTTATTAGGAATTAATTTTCTGCCAAATGCTCAAACATTACAAGTGAGTTACCACAATGAATTGCCAGAATATTCAGATATAGGCACAGATTAAACTTGAACTGCAATCAATAATGGAAGTCTTGCATCAGAATGTTTCCAAACTTATATCAAGCTTTTAGTCTCATTTAGGATGACTACGATATTTTTGAGGGGTAAAGTTGCAGAATTTCTACTTCCTTGACAATCGAGGTGCAAATTATTGAGGCCTGTCAGCTAGTGCTTAATTTGTTATCCACACATCTTGGAACTGTTAGAATCCATGCTATGCCATACATATGATGTTTTGATGATAATCTCTGTTTCAAAGAGCTTAGCTGTGATTGATGTCTTCTACTAGACATGTATTTGAATGAACCTGGGAGTTTGTGCAAGAGTTGCAGATCTTCATTGGAGCCTGAATTGCAATGCCATGACTAAAGAAGATTAAACTACATTGGTGCACACAATAGGTCTTTCATCATTCAGTGTTTTACTAATAAAGCTGTCTTTCGAGATCAAAGCTGCAATGCTTTTGACAAAACGAGTGTGACTTTTTATTATCGATGGTTTAAAGCTTAATTAGGTGCTTTGTTTGGCACTCAATTGGTTGCTCGCTGTCTCAAATGAAGCAGGTATTGTAGCGTAGAAGATGAATGAAGGCAGCATTGTGAGCTCTGGTTTCAAGGAAGCATCTACTTCGCTTGGCGATCAAGATCTGCAGTGCTGCTTCCTTGTAGTTTTCATCAGGTTGTGATAAACGGTGAGAGATGTTCCATTGAGGATCAGATGTTTTTATGTAAAACTTCATAGATAAGTATGTTTGGAGGACCAGGCAATGGAAAAGACACTTCCCTGGACACGTCTCTATTTCAAGTTGGAAAAATATGGACGCTTCTTTTCTCATGAGGAGGGTGATGATCTGGGCTCTCCTCCAGGAGACCATCACTATTACCATGATCACTTCTCCAGCTGTTTGGAGCCGGACTGAGGCAAGAGTTGAGGAATGGGATTTTTGAGTTTTGAGTTTGAGTGTGTGGAAAAATCGCCAAGACATACAGAGTTTGGTCGAGCATTTTAGTCTTGGATTTAGTGGAAATGTCAGATTTCTGTCAATGTGACACTTTATGTTAAGGAGAGTGGGTCTCAATAGTACCAAACATTATTTTATCTTTTTATTTAGTTTAGTAGTTTTGTTGACGGTTTAAGGATTCCAAGCAGCCAGACCTTATTGGATAATAACATCCAGCAAGACCTTATCAGTTACATTACCCAGTTTTGGGTTGTGACGTACCAGTTGAGATCCACTTGTTTTGGAGGAGGGATTTCTGAGATGTGTTCTCATCACATAGCTTGTGCCTTCATCTCAGTTGTTGGAACCAATGGTTTGGTGGTCCTCTTCGTTATTCTAAGATCCACACATTGTTGTTTGAGTATAGCTTTGCATGTGCGCAATGTGCCCCTGATAAGTGACTGATGTGCACGGACCATGTCCTGGTCACACAAACATTCCCATTGGGGAACTTATCCTGATTTGCCTCCTGACTGAAGTGACCTTACCATCTGGACCTTAGTCAGGTTAAAAGCCATATTTAAGTTCAGTGGGTTAAACCAACTGTCCAATCTTAGGCAGTGTGTCCATCAAAGCATTTTTAGCTTATATGGAAAATGCATAGCTTTTTGATCAAGGGAACCCATGCGCCGCTAGCTTCCGAGTTGTCCTACAAAGTGACGTCATCACTTTGGCACTCTATTGTATTGGTCAATTTAAATCAAAACATTTTGGGATAAAGTTTCTAAAATAACCTTTTGATTTTTATTCAAGCTTTCAGAAAAAAGAAAAATGGATAATTCGAGAAATCAATGCCCTCATCAACTTAATTTATGGCGCTTTTCCACTGCTGGTACAGCTCAGTTCGGCTCGGCGCGGTTTGTCTCGCTTCGCTTTTCCACTGCGTGGTACGACTCGGCTCGGTTCGCTTTAGCTCAGTTCGCTTTAGCTCGGTTGCTTTTCCACTGCAGTTAGTACCGCTTTAGTGGGTGGGATTATAGACTGTTCGATAACAGGTATTGTAGGTAATGAAGTACTTATCCAGTACATCGCGAATAAAAGGGATTTATCTTATAACAAAGTTAGTGCCCCATGATCTTTTGGCGTTTATATGCGCATATACAATCACTTAGTACAGCCATAGCTGGTTTTAAGTCTACCATGTATGGTTACGTTTTTATGGCTTATATCCCAAATGTCAATGGAGAAATTGTATTGAATTTTTACTTCCGGCACCGGCTGTGGGCGGGACTGTGATGCTCTATTGGTCGCAAATACAATGACCCTGGTAGTGACGATTCTGTGATCTACAGTGTTTCACGTTAAATTTTAGTACCCGTATGGTACAGACCAGGTACCATTTAAAGCGAGTCGTACCATACCGTACCATAACGTGCAGTGGAAAAGCGCCAAAGCGTGCCGTACCGAACCATGCAGTGGAAAAGCGCCATTAGTTCAATACTCTGGATCATCTAACGATCAATTCAAGCATATAGATTTAGTGGCTGAATCTTATTTGTGTATCCGATTGGAATCTTATCTTGACGATTGACTGTCCACATTGTGTATCGCAACTGTTCCCCGCTTTGGTTTTCCGGAATATCTTTGGTTTTTATGGCAATGACGTTGCCTTGGTAGGCATACGCCAAGTATTGGGGTTTGCAATACAGATGTTGTCTTATTTTCAACATGACTATGTGCAGAACTGTGTCAGGTTTTATTCCGTGCTGTAGTCTGCTGCTTTAAAATCATGACTCCATTTTATTGTCGTCGTCTCTCTCGACCGGCACTTTGCAACAAGTTTTGTTTCTATTACAATGTCTGACGTGTTTACGTTTTACGTGGCGTGAGAAAGTGACATAAACCACGCGAAATCCGATCAGAGCAGTCCGACTGAAACGGATCTCCAGAAATGCGATTTGAATAGGATTTCAAACCACACATGAATATAGCTCGAAACTGATCCGTAAGTGCCGTTTACTCTTGCTAAATATGGTTTCCAATCGGATATGCTCAAAAATCTGATTTGGACTGACAAACCGTTCATGGACATGGAGGAGTTGTGAAAATGAAATGTAGTTGTATTCTCACTGTCTCCATGAAGATGATACCATTCCTCTAATGTAATAGGAATTTATTGATCTGTACAAAGGAAGAAATAAACAACATAAATCAATATTGACATCTCTTTTATGTCATCCAGAGCAGAAAATGTGGCGTCACGGAATTTAAATGGTTAGGAAGTAGGCTACATATAAAGGCTTAGAGTAAATGTCATTTGAAAATGTTATCCTGCATGAGTTTATCTTCCACTGCTATGGAAATTACAATGATGGCATTTGATGAAGACCTGCTGGGAATTATAATGACTTCACTCATGCTGTGCGTGACACAATTAAGACAAAAACAAAATTCATACTGAAACATGTTGCTATAGAGAGAGAACAGGAGGGACACCGTGTGACTCAAATGACAAGCGTCTGCATAGTTCCCTAAATACAAAAATTTATACTCTCCATGATTTTGCAACCAAAGACAGTGGAAATCCCTAAAATGCTAATGCGGATGACCATACTGTATTATTAGCTTACATTGCCTGCAACGTCAGGGTGTGTGTGTGTGTATATATATATATATATATATATATATATATATATATATATATATATGTGTGTGTGTGTGTGTGTGTGTGTGTGTGTGTGTATATATATATATATATATATATACTGTATATATATATATATATATATATATATATATATATACCCTGACGTTGCAGGCAAATGTAAGCTAATAATACAGTATGGTCATCCGCATTAGCATTTTAGGGATTTCCACATATATATATATATATATATATATATATATATATATATATATATGTGTGTGTGTGTGTGTGTGTGTAGTGGAAGTATCATAATAGTCTTTAAAGAATGTAGGCCTACGGAAACTCGCATAGACTTTATTTGTTTTGACATTAGCAGGAAATCAAGCCAGAAAGCCAACACTGTCTTTCCTTATTAGGCACTAACATAATGTCTAAATGAGCAAAGACATTCCTCATTATTACACTATTTGACGATAATGTTAGTGTGAACATGCCTCCTCAAGAGTCTGATGGCTGTAAAGATGCCAGCTCAACTGCGCCCTCCAGTGGCCAACAGCAGACTTTACAAACATGCAATACATCACACTAGTTCACATGCTACCCACCCACCCTACACATACAGTGTGTAAAATCTGTATTCGTGAATCTCAAATAGTGTTTTTTTTTTTTTTTAATTGCCATACTGTATCTTGTGGAACGGTTCGTGAAGATTCTCACAATAATTTCAGTAATCCCGGGCCGAATCCACCACAGCAGTCTTTAAATGTATCACTCTTAAAGTCATCATACAATTAAATGAATAAATTAAGGCAGATACCCATGTTTCCAAGCACAGGTTTATGGTGTGGTTGTTTCTAGCATTCTGGCTATGTTGAAAATAGCTTAGCTTCATTGTATATGATGTATATTTTCAGAGATTAAGTAAACGAGTAGGCTTTATTACTCACATTTTAACTGTATTATATTACATTGTTTTCACAATAATTTAGTGGCGTCTTCACTTTTATGTTGTGTTTTTATAATGTTGGGGTCAAGCAATATTTTTAGTACCCTGTAAATTAAATTAATACTATTTTCCAGCAAGGACACATTAATTTGATCATACAATGTAGCGAAAGATTTCTATTTTAAATAATTAAATAATCCAGAAAAAAGTAGCATGGCTTTGATCACAGGAATAAATGACAGTTTACTATATGAAGAGTTCAGATGCAAAAGCCTCTAAGTGCCATTTGAAATTTTCTTCTAGAATAATAATTTTTATCAAGCTTGTATATTTAAGTTCAGTGATTTCACTTAAATGGCAATGATAATTACCTATTAATTGTTATTTAAGTGAAATTACTGAACTTAAATATACAAGTTTGATAAAAATCATCATTAAAGAAGAAAAATTCAAATGGCATTTAGAGGCTTTTGCATCTGAACTCTTCATATATTCACATAGAAAAGGATTATTTGACATTGTAATACTATTTCACAATGTTCCTGTAATTATGATCAAATGAATGCAGACGTTCAAAAACATTACAAGATCTTACTGACCCCAAACTTTTTGTGTAAATATAAATATGTATACATAAACTGTATACACCGCAGCAACAGTAAGAATAGTGTGTTGGAGTGCTATTTTAAACACAGCCAGTCTCTACACACCCTCTCCAGCAAAGGACATCATTTTATTGCATAACAGAAATATGCAATTTGGGATTGTGCATACGCACACATGATTCATTTCAACATTCAAAAGTTTATTCATAGATCTGGATGGCGAGTGACATCATATCTCATGATCACATGATCCAGATTGGAAGGGAATATGTGTGGGCCTGTAACCCTCTTGTGTTTGTCCTTCCAGCAGTGACGGAGGA